GCTGTGGTGTGCAGTCCTGACAGCCCGGCTCTCCCCTCGCAGAGCTCCCGGCACTCCAAGCTGGAGAAGGCAGACATCCTGGAGATGACGGTCAAGCACCTGCGAAACCTGCAACGGGCGCAGATGACCGGTAAGTGCAACCTAATTGCCCGTGGGATGGGCTCCAGACCTGGGGATGGGGGGACTGGGGACTGAGCTGCTGACCCACCACTCACCCACCAAACCCTCTGCCCTCCAGCTGCGCTCAGCGCCGACCCCACCGTCCTGGGCAAGTACCGGGCTGGATTCAACGAATGCATGAACGAGGTGACACGGTTCCTCTCCACCTGCGAAGGGGTGAACACCGACGTGCGTAAAAAACGTCTCCTCAGTCACCTCTCAGCTTGCTTGGGCCAAATCGTGGCCATGAACTACCCACCTCCACCACCACCACCGCCATCTGGCCAGCCCGCACATCTGGCACAGCAGCCTCTGCACGTCCAGCTGCCACCCACAGCAGCCGGAGCTGTGCCTGTCCCCTGCAAACTGAACCCTGCTGAAGCCCTGTCCCCAAAAGTCTACGGGGGCTTCCAGCTCGTTCCTGCGACCGATGGCCAATTTGCTTTTCTCATCCCCAATCCAGCCTTCCCTCCCAGTTCTGGACCAGTTATCCCACTCTATGCCAATGCCAACGTCCCGGTATCCACAGGCGGTGGCTCGGGGAACGCAGCCGCCACCCCATCAGCGTCCCCGGTGCAGGGGTTGACAACATTTGGGGGCAGCATTGTTCCAGCGTCCCAGGCGGGGAGTCCCATAGGAGAGCGAAGTGAATCGGTGTGGAGGCCTTGGTGACTTGCCTAAAATAATTCCCTTCCACCCCAAAAAAAACCAACCAAACTCTTCTGTTGGCTCCGTTGTATGGAGCCCTGTTATGTTTGGGTTTTTTTTAAGCAGATTTAAACAGAAAGGAGAGGAGAAAAAAAAAAAAGGACCTCGCTATGAACATGTTATTTATTATTTTCAGAGGTTGGGATCTCGACTTGTATTTTTACTCCTTTAAAATGCCTTTATTTGAGATACTTTTTAAAAAATAAATGAGAAATAGTTTTGTAACAAATATTCAAAAGTATAATGCCAAAGTTGTTTGTATCCCGTTTGTTTGTGTGTGTGTGTATGTGTGCCTGTGTTGAAGCCTTCCAAAAACAAAAAGGAAAAAAAAAAAATTGCAGGTGTTTAAATAAATAAACTCTTTGAAATAGATTTATTTATTTTTTTTCCCCCACTTTCCTTGTATTTTGTTGGGTGAGAGTGGCCAGGGCCAAGCTCATCCTCTGTGTGCATCTCTCTCCAAAAAGTAGGAGTGAATTTTATGGCCCTAAATAAGGCTGTTGGATGGGATTCCTGGGGAAAAATAGTTTGGGGTGAGGTTGGGGGAGGAAAGTGATGGGGGTGTGGCAGTGTCAAATATCTCTTGAGAGCTTTGCCAGTGTTGTGTTCCCACTCAGGAGAAAAAAAGAAGAGATTCCTAAAAATCTGCTCCTGTTTGCTACCTGCTCCTGGAATAACTTTGGATTTCCCTGTAGGGATTGCCTGTGTGGGGCTGGCGTTGCTCAAAAGTTACTATCTTTGCCTACAAAAGAGGCAAGAGAGTCTGTCCCTATTGTGAGGAGGGTAATTAGAAGGTATAAAGGGTCTCATCGAGTATGCAGCGGGCTCTTTGGGAAGTTGGGAACCCTATTGAAACGCCTGGGAACTCGGAGCTGAGGGTTAATGTGTGTCTTTTTTTTTCTCTCTCTCTCATTGACAGGGCCAGATAGACTCTGATACTCAATGCTGTTGTAAATTCAATTGCCTGGCCTCACAATGCCCACCTCATAAAAGAGAATAACTTGGGGTTGTGGCTTTTTTTTTTTTTTGCTTTTTTTCCCCCCCCCCCCTTTTTTTTTTTTTTCTTCCAGTAAGCAAGGGAACTGAGGAAAAGACAGTTTTGCCACCCATTCTGACTCACTCCCAGTACTTGAATCCTGGCCAAGTGGAAGCAATTGCAGCCTCACACGCACAGAATTAACCACTTCCAATTGTCACCAATTAATAAGGCCCGTGGTGTGGAGAAAGACCATTAAGAGTGAATGCCAGGGTATGGAAGGGAAAGCTTTGTGTGTGCTTTGCTCCAAATTTATGAGGTGGGGCTATCGTGTAATCTTCCAGAGAAAAGCCAACTGATGACATGTGTGCACGTCGAAGCCACATCCAGAGGTATAACCCATCTTGGCTGGGCTTCCTCCATCCTCCAGTCTGTGGGATCCTGGTAGGAAAAGCTGATTTTTCCTGATCAGCTTCTCAAGACTGAGGGGTTTTCCTGATCTTTGGACTAGGTGGGTTGAGTTGTGGTGGGACCGGTGGTGTTTTACAGTTCAGAGGATGTTTGCAGAACATCCCATTAATACAACAGACCCAGGGATTTTATTTTATTTTATTTTATTTTATTTTAGAATGGAAATACAATTTTATCTTTCAAGGTCTAGTTCTATTAGCAATCAGGTCGCAGCTCCTGTGAGAACATGGCATTGTGTATGTGTGTGTGTGTTGGGAGGAGTATGTAAAGCAGATTATCTGCTTTCTGAAGGCTTTTTACACCTTTATGAGATTTTTGAGATAAGAGGAGTGCAGGCTCCTTGGAGCCTGGTACTGATCCAGCCCAGCAATTCCTCTGCACCAAAGCGTGGGCAATCGATCAATGCTGAAAGTTCTCCATCCCACAACTAGAACTAGGTATCCATTTGAATCAGGAGGTTCCCAGGAGGTTTTCTTATGCAATCACAGACATAAAATCATGTTACAGCAATTCTCTTCCATCCCCCACAGTCAGTTACTACCCCTCCTCTTCTGTCTGAAGAAGGCTTGGAAGAGCAGATGAAAGCCTGCCTGTCGCCTGCCTGTAAGTGTATCCCTCCCTGGGGCCAGCACCGGGTCTCTGGACTCATCCCTCACTACCCATTTCCCTCCAGATCCCCCCCTTCAATTTGCCAAATTTATTGACAAGGTACCCAGGCCAAAAGTGGAAGTGCCAAGCGCTACGCTGCTGAGTTCAGGCACAGAGAAGAAAAAAAAACACAAACCCAAAAAACCCTCTTTTCTGAGTGGGTTTTAAATGCTCGCAGCAGTGCAAACACAACACGCACCGCGGCGTTCCTTTGGGACCTTCCTTTCCCAGCACCAGAGATGCAGTCATTCACTGCTCTGCCTCTGAAGTGAGACCCTGAAATGCAAACATCTGATGATACCGCTGTCATTTCAGCCTCCACCGAAACTCTGCAAGAGCTCCAAAGGTCTGTGCCTGGGTCCGGGGAGTGCAGAACCTGGACACGAGGTACACGCCAGAAGCTCAAAATCCATCTGCAGAGAGGGATGGTGTTGCTATTAACTCCAAACCACTTCAGGAGATGTACAACATGGGTTCAATCACTGTGTCTGCACCCAGACTCTGTTCTTCTGCAACTGCTCTTCTGGCTTTGCTAGGTTAGTCCTCTATTCCTATTTGCCGTGCTCTTTCAAAGCTTTTTATCCAGCTGCTTTTCCAGATGGGGTGAAATTTGGTCTTATCCCTTTAAAGGTGCAGTAAAAGAGCAAAGTGTGCCTCTGCTGAAAGGTGAAAGTCCACAGGGATGGACCCAGCTCCAAGGCGATAAGGGTTAGGCAAACTGCGGGCAGCCAGAAGTCCATGGCCGTCATGGCACGAGCTGGGTGTGGTGGAGCAAAGTGAGGTGGGAGGAAGACAGCGGTGAAACCTGGCTCGCTGTGATGCCTCCTTCATCTGAACCCTTGTTCCAAGGGAAAAGAAGCGGGGCTAGCTGTTAACTAGCCACCTCCAAAGCCAGCAGAAGGTTAACCCCAG